TCTCTCTCTCTCTCTCTCTCTCTCTCTCTCTCTCTCTCTCTCTCTCTCTCTCTCTCTCTCTCTCTGTGAAGGAGAGGGTGGGGGGTCAGAGAGAGGAAATGATCGGTCGATGGAGGGACACGTCGCGCGACGCGGCTCGATCCACGCACGATTATTTGCGACGAAACGGTACGCCGGATTCGTTATTACTTTAATTGGAATCCATTTGACTGGCGGCTACAGCGGTGCGCAACGGGCTATACGCTCTCTCCCGCTCGTGTCTGGCGTCGATTACAGAAACCCTTTCTAATAAGCGAGGGAATATTCAACAGCCAGTCAAGGGAACGATCCGGTGCTACCAAAATTATGGTAAGTCGACCCTGCCCCTCTCCCACCCGGCCCTGTACGCGTCTCACCCCACGACCGCTCCCGAATGGGAAATTAATTCCTCGCAATGAGCAGGCCGGTTCCGAGTCGATGGAAATTCTCCGCGGAGGAACGAGGACTGATCCGGTTTCGGTTGCCGAGCTGTGACAGTTCTTCCAGGATCGTCTGCGCGGATCTGTGTCCTATGGCCGAGATTCGCGGCGCTCGAGCGTCCTGAGTTTCGATTCTCTCGATGCTTCTTATCTTTAACTTTGGCTTCTCTTATCGGCCAGTCCCGGTTTTTGATCTTTCAGCGGCGAAACGGCTCCACGGGATCAGCATAAAAAGTTGGAACTCGTTTCGGAATGAATGAAAAGAGACAGAGAGGATATTTGCTGAACTGAAAAGGAGGGTGGTCAAAATATGAGCCAAAGTATGGTTCAATGTCTCTTCTAAAGAGATACGTAATTATTTATACGGGGAGCGACGGGAAAGTTACTGAAAATAACCGTAAAGTACAGTTATTGAATAGAACATATTGAAATACGTTAACTCATCAAGTTAGTGTATTTCAATACGTTCTTCTCCCGATGATGATCTCTAAAAAAAATAGTCATTTAAAAATTCAGCAGGCAAGGTCATCGTGGATTGGTATCAAGCATATTCAAAAAACCATAAGATGAGAGCCATTACATGAGAGCATCAACTTTACATCAACTCGGATTCGATCTGTATAGATCGATCCTTACAATTAATTTCCAAGCTGACAGTCTCGATCGTTATGATGTATTGCACCAAGTATGGCGTATATTTTTAAATATTTTAATATCAAATAATATTACGCCTTAAAATATCAATAATATCAAATAATAAACGCTTAAAAATTGCTCCTTTTAACAAACGTAATGTCGGTGCATTGATTGGCGATTGTTGAGTAACTAATTAATAATTATTGTAAATAATAGTAATATAATTATTGAATAATTATTGTAAATAATAGTAATATAATTATTGAATAATTATTGTAAATAATAGAAAGTATATTCTTCATACTCTAGTATGAAGTATTTTATAACTTTTACAATGATTATTCTAATAATAAATCACCTTTCAAAAAGGTATTGAATCATTAGCGAATATTACAGACGACAATATTTCAGGGTTTGTGTTTATTTTTAACCTTCCCATTATTTTCTGGAAAAAATCATGTATTTGTATTCTTCAGGAAGCTTCAAAATTGGCCTATTTTTAGGCTTTTGTTCTACGCAGCGAAACGTTTGTGGAACTTCAAAAATTAGAATGTGAGAGGCTAAGGATGGGTTCGTCTCGCTGCACGTTAAAATTTGTCTAAAACTTTTTCCCGGCGCGAGTTTTTCTATAATAATTGTGCTTCATTACGTTGCTTTCAGTTAACATTACCGTAGAACACACATTGGGGAACGGTGAGGATTAATTCTCGTTGCATCCAGAGAATGGAATTCTACTGCACTTTTCATATCGCGCGTTGCATCATATATTTATATCATTATAAAATTAATTAAACGTTGTTACAGTGTTTTTTTCGCCGCTGCGTGGTAATTAGCAAGCGAAAATATTGGCAACGAATTTTTGATTCCGGTAAAAAGGTCGGCGGCCAGCGCGCTGAAAAATTTAGATGGCTTTTTTTCGGAACGAACGCGGAATATGGAACTCGTTGAAACGCATCATACTAGTTTCACGTTCGAGATTTCCTCAATGACTTTCCGATGGTAGTTTTACCGAATAAATGTCCGGGAAATCAGATGCGCGAAATCGTGCAAAAAATAATGTCGCCTTGTCGATTACAAAATGTTCATTGATTCGTTGTGATTTACAATCGCGTCGTTAACCAGAATTATTGTTCCACCGAAGATAACATATGAAGTGGTATTAACGAATTTGTCGAGGCGAAACTAGTTTTAAGTAGGTCCGCCGTCGATCACACCGTGAGAAGTTTTCTGTATTACATAACATTTTAGTAGCATAAATAAATTATTCTGACTTATTAGGTACACATATCTGTCGAATAAAATTATATCTAAATAGAAATAAGTTTCACTTATTCTCTACGGATTTTAATCAGAGACAGCTGCGAGCAAAGCGAAGACACGATACTTTACACATTGGATTATACACAGTGGATTGATTGACTTAATTAGTTGACTGCGGATTTTATGCACTTACGAAAGAATAGAAGAATACTAAGAAAACGGTTAAACTATTTCCAGTCCATTGGACAAATTGAGAGCTGAAACAAACTTTTTGCAGTTGAGATAATACACATTCTTAT